CATTAGAATTAGAAGTTTTGACTAATTATTGTAATAAAATATGTAACATCATACATTGTTTGCCAAATGTATTTTGTTAAAATTTCTTGCGTATGAGCCTATATACATAAAATAATATACATAAGTAATATTTTAATAACGACACCTTTTCAGTCCGAAAAATAACCTGCATGTTAATTTTAATGGCAATAAATTTTTTATGCGGCAAGATTTAATGTATTAAAGTATTTCTTTTCTATTTGTCCTCATTATTATTACTGTCAAATAGCGTTCTAGAATTTCTGAAGTAAAAATTTGGTTACTATTGATACGTCATACATTATCGATAAATTAGGTAATGAAATATTATAATTCAAATAAAAAAACTTGAAATATTAGAAATATAATTATTTAGAATTAGATATTAATTATAAATAGAGGTGGATATTGAAACCATTGCATTTTTCAAAAACATTTAAGTCAATGTAGTTTATTAAACATCAAAAAGCATTTTTAGTTAAAACAAAGTGATTTTAATGTAATAATTTCTACCGAAATACGCATGTAATATTGAATTAAATTCAATGTAACATGTTCGGGAAACTCTACAATTGACATTGCCGCTCTGCAAATGGTGAACTTGGCATTGTCGCTATCTCGTGATGGAATCCGTAAATTAGTTTCAAGAAAATTCTTATCGTTGCTGCGCTATTTCGCGGTGTAATCTGTGAACTACACTCGTCCGATAAACGTGGAATTATAAGTACGAGACTAGTTTTGCCAAGCTGTCCTGATAACCGACCTATTCGTTGAAATTTTCTGATTTTCATTTCTCCTCCACTTAGCATCATGATTTAAGGTACATTTTAAAAGTATTATACAGGCCAACTTTTGGAATCTTATGATCAATCAGGATAAGTTACAAGGAGATTATTTTGTGCAAAATCACGTGGACGATCTCTCACTTGAATATTTCTTTCGTAATGTCTTTCAAGCTAGTACGATTTTTAGCTTTAATTTATCACAGAGAATTTTTATAATGACTCCACGTATAGTGCTCTCACACGAGTTACAGAAGTCTGAACTCCTGAAAGTTCAATGAGAAATTCTTATCGTTCCGTGAAATTATGAACAAAAATTGTTTTGTTCATATTGATTTGTAATTGTTCTCTTCATATTAATCTATTATGAGCTCTGTCCTTTTAGCTACACTAACAATAAGTTACTACACTTCTTCTTTATCGTTTGCAAATTGAAATGTTGAAGAAAATGGAAGAATTGAATGTAAGTAGAAAAGTTGTACATTAATAGAAACAAAACGCAAGATAGCAACGATTTAAATAAATTTTACAAGTTTTATTCATGTGATAATACTGTATATATTTGTAGTATGTAACAAAGGCTCAATAATATTCAACATATGTGCATATATTTGTACTTAAATTATTAAAAATTATTAAAATTTACTTTGCTGAATATGCTTATCGATGAATTAATTAACATAATTCTTTCTTTTTCTTTTCAGCCAATATGTATAAAAAATGTCTTATTTGTCATGACAGCCAACAACAGAGGTGAGCACGATGGACATAGACATAATAATGATCGAGACAGACCTAAGTCACCATATATTAATAATTACAATTAAAGTTGCACAATCGAGCATGAAGACTATAACGAAAGGAGAGTGACACGTCTCATTGTTGAGTGCATTCTTGCAAATTGCTTTCAAACAATTCGCGTTAATGTCACATGGCACACAGCGATGATTTAGCAAATCATACAGTTATCGATCAGTAACGCTCATACAGTTGCATCGGTCATTAACGCTGAACAAACCATTAGAAATTCTATTGTGACATGAAATATATTTTTTACAGTATTAAGTATTCAATTAGATTTCAACAAACTCATGGAACAAAAGACAAACGTCAGCCTTCAAAGCCTTAACTGTTGGCATAAATTTGTTTAAAAAGATCGAGTGGGCCAAAAATCATGGAAACATCACCAACATCATTGTTTTGAGGTCATTGTTTTAATACCCAATGGTCATTAAAATCAATTATCAATTATCACATTAAAAACATGATGCAACCGGTAACGAAATCACATCTTTTGCTATCAATATCAGAGTTGAAATTAAAATTATATTATTTTATATATATATATATATATATATATATATTTATATATACATATATATATATATAATATAAATATATAATATAAATATATATATATATATATGTGTGCGTGTATATATACATATGTGTATGTATAATAATTTTATATATATGTATATACATATGTAATTTATACTTTAGGAAATGGCGACATAAATCTTGAGAAACCTAAAACATTGAGAACCTGCGACTTTGGCAGATGTTGCATTATGAAATAGAGTTGGATAGTGTCGCAGCTGCTATGTTAACTGTCAAGTCGCAAATACAGCGATTGTTGGATCATAATATTTAAAATACGCTATCCGATTGGCGAACAGGCTGCAGACAGTGGCGGTAGCATGTCACAAAAGAATAGTAAAACAAGTTATATCTTCAGTGCTATTAAAGTGGATACAATTTTTGATATCACTATGGCAAGCAATTATTATCCACCTGTTTATTATCAATTTATCAAGGATTTTTTAAAAATTCGAGAAATAAGTGCTTAAAAATCTTAAATATATTAAGACTATATGTACTTTTTTTAAAACTAAACATATATCTTCCTAATATAAATAATATTGTTCATTTATTTATTATTAATTTATCATGGATTTGTAAAAGATAATTACGTGGAAGAAATGTTGAAGTGTTAAGTCTGTCTTTATACCTTGTATGTATTAATAATGAAAAATCTTATTATTTTAATATTTCTTAACCAAATTCAAAAAAGTATATGAGATTTTATAAATTCCAATGGGACATTATGAAATTAATTATAAAATGTTTATCCGCCGTTAATGATATGTCTACGTTTAAAACAATTACCTAATCAGTACATTTTCTCTATTCTTCGGTAAGATTATTCTTTTTTTATTCTAAATATATATAAATTTATTTATTTTAAATATATAAAAATGACAAGTTATATTTATCATATTTATTTGCAGTTTCAACTCGAATTTGTTAAGTGATTACAATTCGATTATAGATCGAGAACCATCCTACCTTCCAAACTTGAATGTTCTCATAGAGAATGGAAAACTGCAGCCAATCGTATCGGTGGAGTCATGCATTCCGTTCTTGACAACAGTGTTGAATACATTACAATAATTTTTGTGTGTCAGAAATTCGTACAATATTTAAACTTTCGTTCTTCCGCAAGTACTTATGATCTGGAAACAACCGAATGGATTTTGGAAAGATCATGTTACAGTAGGACGGAGATATATCTTTTGACAGCGGTAGTAAAAGCGGCGTCTCTCTTCTTGGAGATACAATCAATAATCAGACGGCACAAATTGTGTGGAAAATCACCATTAAGCTTCTCGACGTTATCTACGGACTTTGAAAAAGTTTTCTCACGTGGTCCGTAGCATCCATAGATAACGTCGAGAAGCTTAGATAAGTTTTTCGCGTTGTCGAGCGAGAAACTAAACTTAGAGATTATCACTAATGACTTGACAAAAATAAATCTAGCATCCACGATAGATCAGATTCAAATAGATTTGCAATCCTTTCACAGCGTTGCTTTATGAGAGATACATCACACTAAACGGCGACTGGGACCACACACCGATGCCGAAGGACTGGCTTTTTCTGTCGCTGATTCACATATACACAAAATGCAAAAATGATAAGTTACAGCCGGAAGATAAAAAGAGTATCTTAATAGTGCTGAGTCTAGCACTGATTTTGCCCGATATAATGGATAGGCTATCGCTCACTTTAAGATTCAGTAGATTAATATTGGTATACCTTTGCGATACCGTCTATTTGGACAATGATGTGTCCGTGCTGCTACTGAATATTTTCTCGAATCTACTGAAGACATACTACGGGCGATTGAATTTCCGAACCGAGTTGCCAAGACTGAGTTCTTTTGCCGATCTGTTCATGGCATTGTACGAACATTCTGCTCGAGCTCGTACGGCGACGATGGTCGCCATGATGTTGCTAATACCGATGACACAAAGACATGATCCACATTATCGGAAATTGCTGTGGTTGGAACACACGAGCGCGTTGCGACTTGAAGTTTCAGATAGAAAAGCTTGTGTTTCCGATGAAAAAATATCTCTATCTGTAGGAGCAGGAGGATACATCGCTCATAGAAAATTACAACACGCTAGTCCGCGAAATAATCAGGCAAACTTGGTGTCCTGTTCCTTATGCGATTGCGGTACATCATTCGGCGATGTATCTAAAGCATTCGAATAGATTGGCGCTGCGAATGCGTACACAAGTGGAGAAACTGCGGGATAGAGACATTGCGAATACATTGCTGCATACGTACCTCCGCGATTAATGTAAAATGATGGGACTGACGCGACATGATTTTATTGTATATAAATATGGTATGTATGTATATATGATATGTATGTATATGTGTATGTGTGCACATGTATAATCTCTTTCTACATTTTATTTTATAAAGGAATGCTTAATTATGTACAGAATTGAGAACTGTTATTTCTTACAAAAAGTAACGTGTTATCATTACTGTTATTAGAAAGTAACAATTTATTTATTTTTTTTTTGTTAAGATAGTAACTTTTGAAATTTTACTATTTTATTGATATTATAATATAATTGAATTATAATAATCAATGTTAAAAGCAAAACTCTAAGTTATGCATATAATAAGTTCTTTTATATTAATCTTATTTAGTAATTTTTTTAATTCTTGATATATTAAAATATCGATATTACATTTCATATTTAAAAATGAAATGTAAATAATTTTTGCAAGAAATTCTTTACAATAAAATCACTTTCAAAGTGTTCGTTTATTATTCTTATTTTGATTCTTATTTGATTGAAACATAATTAGCTGCAATTAAACATTTTTCATATAAATTAAAATAAATGTAATGAATATATGTACTTAAATAAAAAATTTTTTGTATCTTTTTATTTCTTTTTATGAATTTTATATTTTGTTACGTCCAATTCTCATATAATTAACAGATTGTCAGTCAGATGTTGCTTTAGCAGTAATACATCTACACTAAATATGTAGGATTGTTACGAGATCGGAACAAAAAATTTTACAGATTTATCTAATTATACACAATAATTGCACGTATTTAATTTTGGTGGAATAAAAATAATTGTACATATTGTCTCTACTACTCAAGAATTTCTTTTAGTATATCTAGAATAAATTATTCAGAGAATTAATAATTAATATTATATTAATAATAAATAATAGTACATTAATAAATTGTTTTATTACATTAATAGCATCTCGTATAAATGTATTAATTTAGTTTTCTCTAGTTTGTTAACATAATAATTATATATTTTAATATAATCTTTAAAAGAACTTTTAACCTCCTGAAGGAGACTTAGTAATCGAAACGAAATTCAAATATTTAAATTTATTTGTCAAGTGACATTATTTAGATTTGTGTTTATAAAAGTTTTTTTTGTATTAATGATACTTGTTTTGTTCACTCTATTAGTCATTTTATTTCTTCATTATTTTTTTGTTTTATATAGAGAAACTGTTTATATATTTTCTTTTATTATAATACATTATTGATTTTATTTAACAACAGGTGCGATAAGAAAAATTTGAACACATAATAGAAAACATAAATAGAAAAATATGTTTATTTTAAAATATTGTTCTTTCTCGGATATTTTTCAAACTTTAAATGTTTGTTTTAAATGTTTATTTATTATTAACAAGAACGTTATATCTACCGATCTTTAGTTACTGAGCTTCAGTTGCCAGTCGTTTAGTTGCCTTATCCGTCAGAGTGCCTAGAAGCTAATTGAATTCAATTTATTTTATTTAATTCTTATCGGAAGACGATTTCTCAATATTCTGGTTAGTATCTTTATTTCTATTTATTATATATTATGGATTAAGAATATTTTAGCAACCTTTTGAGCAATTATACAAATATTGAGATACGAATGTGAAATATTTTGAATAAATTTAACAATTATTAACAAAGTGGTTTCAACTTAAATAATATGAGACACTTTCTCACTCATGATTACAAATACGCGCAACAAAAATAATTGTGTTAGTAACACCAATTGATAATATCCTTATTAAATAGTAATATCAGTAAAATAAATACGTATATATTCTTTTCGTTAATATTATTATTAAATTAAGATTATATTTTGAAGAGTATACTTTCAATTGCATTTAATATACGTCTTTTTGTTTTTATTAAAAATCATATATTATAAAATCAATATCACACAAACGAAGTTGCGTTTTCATCTTACTATATTGCCTTCCTTATGTACAATGTAACATAATTCATATATTTAAAATTTCTGATATGTAATAATCTATCTTTTGGTTGTTTTTTTGTTAAATCATCATAATAGAAGTGATGGCTGGAGCAGTGGTAGACAAGACAGAATCAATGCGAGCGTGGTTTCGAGGTAGTGTGCAAAATATTATAAATAGAAAGAGAGAACGAGACTATCCCAACACGTTTAATGAATGGCGTACGTATCTAAATGACAAAGGAATAGAAATCTCACCTGTGAGACGTCGCTATTTTGGCCGCACAACAAAAATTAGAAACGCCATAACAGAGTATATGAATAATCCGGAAAATATCTCGAGTATCTGTGCAAGATATAAGATTAAGCCTAATCTATTGTGTCAAGAAACAGAATATTATCGTCAAACTGAACGTATGATTTACCCATACGAATACGTTCCGAGTACGTATTTTCTCCTGGGAAAGATATTTTCATGTGGAGAAGGATTAGCGTTGGTGGATATCCTGGCATCAGTTCCCGTACCAAATTGCAGATGCCTAGATTGCTCGCGGAGGCGGCTACCGATTTTGGCTTATGAAATGGCCCGAATTATCAGTAGAATAAAAGGAGTACAATATCCGCCCACTTGGGATTTAAGTCGCCAAGCGGGACCAGAATGGTCCCAAAACTTTCAAGAAGATCACTATCGTGAATTATACAAATTAGGCCCATGCACGAATCCTATCGATCAGTTTTAAATGCACGACGTTTCCAGAAATCCGCTTCCAGGGATCCGTAACCATGAATGATCTGTGAATTTGAAGATTTTATTCTCGACGGATTAAAAGAGAACTGTAAACGAATCAGACATCTACCATTCTCAAAAATAAGGAGCCTAAGAACAGAAATAGGTATAATAATTAAAATCAAGCAAAATTAGAGAGAACTACGGTCATCATTTTATCTCAATTCTACTTCAATTTTAAAATACATTTGAAGCAAAATCGAGAATTTGTACAAATGTTTTCTTTGAAATTGATGTATATTGATATTCAGATCCATTATCTATTTTTCTCTTTATTTCGTAGTTATATTTTCATAACGTAATTATAATTTTGCGGATACTTTCAGAGACGATTAATCTGAAATAATTGGAAATTTCTCACGTATTCATATATGTATTATATATAATTAAAATATACGTACAAAGTATTTGTTTTATATACATATTATGACAAATATGTATGATTTTTATTGACGTATTTTTAATAATTGATATGAAATATATGATTTCAACATTTTTTTAGACAATAACAAACAGGGTTGTAACACGTAAAAAATTTCTGATAATGTCAGATTAGTCTTGTTTACAAGATCGATCATCATAAATTATGAAAAGATATATTACGAAGTAAGAATTAAGAAAGAAGCAGGAAAAATACCGATAATATATTAATTCTGAATCCGAAAGTACTTAGTCAGAATTAATTTAGTGTACATATAAGTAATGTTGACTTATAAATACGAAATAGGATATTGGAAATAGCGACTTTTAACAAATTATTTGATATAATGTTAAATATTTTTTCCAAATTCCGGATAATACTAATAATAGTGCAACTGTAATTTAAAGTAAAGGAGCAATATTTAATTATAAACAGTAAGAAAATAATAATGACGATAACGTTTTATGGAATGATTAAGATAATATTATTTATCAATGACTGCTTTTAACTGCATATTGTTCCTATTGCATTAGAATTAGAAGTTTTGATTAATTATTGATAAAATATGTAATATCATACATTGTTTGCCAAATGTATTTTGTTAAAATTTCTTGCATGTTATCCTATAATAATATACATAAATAATATTTTAAATAACGACATCTTTTCAGTCCGAAAAATAACGTCTTTTCAGTCCGAAAAATAAACTGCATGTTAATTTTAATGGCAATAAATTTTTTATGCGGCAAGATTTAATGTACTAAAGTATTCTTTTTCTATTTAACCTCATTATTATTACTGTCAAATAGCGTTCTAGAATTTCTGAAGCCCAAATTTAAAAAATTTGGTTACCACGAAGAATGATTGACATACGTCATATATTATCGATAAATTAGGTAATGAAATATTATAATTCAAGTCATAAATAAAAAAAGTTGAAGTATTATAAATATAATTATTTAGAATTAATAATCGTTTTCCAATTATTATATTTTATTCATACATTAGAATAAAATTTCAATAAAATATTTTTATAAAATATGACATATATTTTTTTCAAGATATATATGCTTTTTGAGAAATTCTTTATACATTTTGTTTTAAAATATTCACAAATATTTCAATCTTTTAATATAATTATCTTTGTAAAAATTTAAGTTTAAATCATAAATGTAAATTTTGTCAAATTTTTATTATTTAAGCATTTTTATTAAGCAGTTTTTAAACATTATTATTAAGACTAGTATTATAGTCCGTTTTTATTATAAGACTATCTTAAGTAATGTCTTAAGATGTTGACAAACTCTATGATTATTTTATAAGATCTATAGATTTAAAAATAATAATTCTTACATGGAGCCACGGTATAATCAGTAAGAGTACTCCGCGTCGGTACTTTGAGCTCTGTTTCACGTCACGTGACTATTTCGCCATATTAATAAATGAAAGAGCAGGAACGAATATAAAAATAATAAGACCTTATGCAATAGAGAAACAGAAATAAATATTAAATTTTGGAAATAGAAATTAGGAGTAGAGTTGAAACATAATTTATAATAAACACAAGTAAGTATAAGATATATTTCATGTTTATTTATATCCATTTTGCGTTACGTTTAATTAGTATTCCTACTTTTTATTTTTAAAATTTAATATTTATTCCTGTTTCTCTATTATGTACACAGCCTCCCATCGAGATATTATGAAAAAGCATTCTGGGCAAATTTTCATAACCATCAAAAGGACTTGAAAAATCTAAAGATAATTGAAGAGTAATGTAATATATATTAATTACCAACTATTAATATAAATTATGGTCTTTAACATAAATATTTAAATAATAAATTACATTCACAATTATTTATGATACAAATGCTTCATAAATAAGTACGTATATTTATATTGCTATAATATTTATTATATACATTGTCGCAAAATTACAATTTTTTTACAATTATTTTTGTAGATAATCAACATAAATGTGGTAACTCTAAAAATGCAGTTTTTAATAAAATTAAATATGAGCCAGTTGTAAATATATATATTTGTCTAAAAAATATCGGAATAATAATGAACTAATAAATTAATATTACATTATGGGTTAATTATTCAAAAGTTTAACAACTGCAATGTGTATGATTCCATGAGATCATCGATCTTTCATAATATCTCATTGGTACTTTCGCTCAAAGTGTCTTTCGAAGCCGAAAAACCTTTTACATGGCTCTGATTATCATCATTAATGTGATCTCCAATTTTATTAATTGCGAAAACACTAATTCGAAACAGCTTTGCATACATTTCTTTAATTACATACAAGTAGATTAATTGCCAGGAATAATTGCCAGAAGTCACATTTACGTATGTCATTCGAAACAACATACGTGATGTGCGGCATTGAAAAAGGGTTGAAGGACGCGATGCTGTGCGGCAGCGCCGCATGATGCAGTCGCGCATGCGCATGCGCGTGCGTCTACCTGTGTGAGTGCGTGAGCGTATGCGTCGGGCGCATCGGCCGTGCGTGCTTGCGGTCTGCGTCTGTTGCACGCGACGCCGACCGGTGGGCCCACACCAGGAGGCGGGGACGCGGTAACAGGTGGCTCCGCGTCGCGGCAGGTGAATCGTCGCCAGCTCGGGCTGGTAGTTTTTTTTATTGTGCGCTTTTCGATTACGGGTTCCCCCGCTCGACCAGTTTCTCATTGTTTTCGCGCTGCTTATCTCGGTTTGCCTGCCTCACGTCAACTTCAACCCGCTAAAGGTTGCACCAAGTCGACCAGCCAATCCGTTTGCCTTCCCGACGTTGTCTATCCCGAGGCATGACGTCCGTGACGACGCGACACAGTCCTCTGAGGTAAGACAACGACGTCGTCCACGTCGGTGCCGAGGAGGAGGAGGAAGAAGAGAAGTGATCACGCGAGGAAGATTTATTGTAACGTGTTGACGGTGCGCCCTCGACGGACGCATGAAAGGTCGAGGCTGCGGTAAAATCAAGAGTGAGACAATGCCGCCGTCCTCGCACACTAACTGGACGAGGCCGTTGCTCAAGAGTGGACAGTCTACACAAATGCAGGTAGTCAAGCAGCAGCAACCTATGATGACGACAACAGTGTCAATGGCAACATCAACAATGACATCCTCAATGGGCACAGGAGCACAGAATCAAAACTTAGGGGAGCATCCCACAACGCCACTTGACAGAAGGATTAAAGTAGTCTTGGTAGGTGATGGTGCAGTTGGCAAAACCAGCTTAGTGGTCTCGTACTCTACGAACGGCTTTCCTGGAGAATACGTACCAACTGCATTTGACAATTACAATGGTATGTCTAATTTTATATCCATGCTAATAATATGGTTGTGGATTGTGCTTTATAGATATATATATATTGTAGATGTTTTAAAACAACATATATATAAAATAATAAAATATTATTCTTAAATATTAATATATTTATATTATAATAAGTATTGTAAAATATTTGCTTTTGTTTCTAATTAATCCTTATAATTTTGTTCACTACTTTATTATCTTCAATAAATAGATAAGAATTTATTATTACCAAATCAATCCAACATTAATATTCTTATTAATATCTTTTAATATTTGTTCAGTGGTCGTAAATGTTGACGGACAACCTCTGAATGTCCAGCTGTGTGATACAGCTGGTCAAGATGACTTTGATCCCTTGAGATCACTATGCTATCCTGAAACAGATGTCTTCCTAGTTTGCTTCAGCGTGGTATGCCCCTCATCTTATCATAGTGTAACTTCCAGATGGATCAATGAAGTTCGAAAATACTGTCCCAATGCTCCAATTATTTTGGTATGGTCTATATTAAAAGCTTGTATAATTTCTCAAATGAACATATTTCTAATCAGAGTTATAATATTATTAATGTCACAATAATGATATAAAAAATAAGATATAATTTTAATATAAATGTTATGTATATGTGTATGTTATTTAATTATATAATTTTCTAGGTGGGGACAAAAAGTGACTTAAGATCGGATGTACGTCTAATGCTGCAGCTGGCGAGATATGGCCAGGCGCCGATTACTACTATCCAGGGTCATCAGTTGGCGCAGAGGCTAGGCGCCGTCAATTATGTAGAGACGTCCGCGTTGACGCAACACGACCTCAAGGAGGCCTTCGACCAAGCGATAGTCAGTGCCCTCAATACACGACGCGGAGGCGCCAGTTTACTATATCGGCGTAGGAAGCCGCCCCCGTTGTGGCGTAGATGGTTGTGCTGCTGGGAACGGCCGTCGTCAAGTGAGACCTAAACGGTCCTATTTTAAGTGATAAATACTTGATGATAAATACTATACTTTTTTAGAATCCCTCTGTGATCATAGGCGGTCGCTCTCTTTTTTGTCAGAATCGTTCAGCATAGCACTCGGTAACTATGTTGATTGAGAATTATCATGCGAATAGAAAAAGAGGAAGAAAGAGACAACAGTTAACATTTTGTTATTTAGATTTTAGGACAACTATTAATAGATACTTCGTGTAAGAATAAGAATCGAGAACATCCTTGTAGTTATACACGATGCTTCAATGTGATTCACTCATCTTTATGCATCATCTAACGTAATTTTTATACATTTGTTAAATAAGTTTTTTATGCGTTTTATAAACTAACAAACTGCCAGAACAAAATGCCAAATACAATACTGTAAAACCGGAAGTGCCGGAATACTTAGCTCATGCGAATGATTATTAAGAATTGAAAGAAAAGAAGGCATTTAACGTAATTAAGAATTGCCCAGTGTTTTATCTTACCGAATCCCGATTTATAAGGACTTGATCGGGAACAAATATTAGTCGAATCAATAATTCTGACAGACGGAGCGAGCGAGTGCCGCCTTTATGAAATTCCTGAAGCCGCACGGCATAATTTATTGTAATATTAATCGTATTAATCATTATTATTTGTTACTAGCGTAATAATTGGCTACTCGCTGGTTGTGATTTTTCGTCTCTGTAATATCCTTGTTTCAGTTGTTGCGGTAAAGATCGATTTCTTCCAACTCTGCCCATCACATCTTCCCTTATTCATATCAAGGATATTAAGTGGCCCTTTTGCGACCACTATGACGTATAGCGATTGTATATTTTTTACTTGTTGCGACCTCTCGTGCATATATAAATATATATATATATATATTTATTTTTTAATATCTTTGACATATATTGGTATTTTAGTAGAGTAACGGTAGTTTTAATCGGACACTTTTTGCAGATCGACAATGATCGTGACATCACATATATAGAATTTATATAACGTAAGCGATGTTTTAGTAAAGGAAATATTGATATTTCATAAAATATGTTTTTTTGATATAAGCATATGTGATGTAGTAGCATTTGTACGAGCGATATCAACCGTATAGAGGAATATCAAATGTAATAATCAATGAGAGAGTAGAGGCGAATACGTAGTATTCGACGAGTATTGGACTCAAGGTTGTTAGGAAAGTTGCTGTGATCTTACTTGAAACTTTCTGTCGGTAATTCTACTGTGTGCTGCATACGGAATTGTATGAATAAGACTGCAGAAAAAAATTTAAAATGACTCTGCGCAATATCATAGGCTTAATTCATTGTAACATTTCACTTTCATCACATGACATTATCAAAAATAAATTGTATATAAGTATTTATTCATCAAGAAAAAAGAGTAATCTTTGCGTGTGTTATTTATAATATAGTCGGGAAAGAACACAGTTAATGTTATTTTTATAGAAAGTTTTTTTGAAACATTGTAGGAAGAAAATAATTATTTGGCCATATTAAATAAAATTTTAAAAAATTAAAAATTAAGATAATTTAATTTAAAAAAAATTACATTAATTCTACATCACATCTTTTTTGTATTGTGTAGAATGTATGTCATGGTTAAGATTAGAAATAATATTGATTATAAAAATTGTTTCTTTAATCTTTCCATATTTTATAAAAATTAAGTATCTTAAATTAAGTATCTTTAGATTGGTTAGATTTCATTTAGATTTGGTTTTCTTTAATTAATACTGCAATCTGGCATTGCTAACAAAGATAACACAAAAAATTTGCGATATCGTTAGTTTGAATTTCCCATTAAGAAGTCTTTGTTTTCTATTTTATCAATAGTAGGTATATTTGTGAGAGTTGCTATCAATGCACGGTATCGTATTTCGAATAATAAGGCATGGGGAAAGAGAAGAACTCGGTCCACGTGCGCCTTGCCTTGGTCTTGAGTAAACGATGGCGAGCCGAGTGGTCGGCAGCGCGACAGTGAATACGCCCAAACAGCTATACAAATATTTATTACGTGAATGCGAAAAACTACCGAAACACACGCAGCAATTTTACAAGCATTCGGTCAAACAAGTAGGTAAAATTATCTTCTAATATCGAATAACCTATTTGATATTTTTCACTCTCTCTTATGGAATTTTTCTTTATTAATAAGATAAAATTTTTGAATGCTGAAAGTATTGCTTTTTCCAGAGCTTTAAACAGCATGCCACGGAATCCGATGAAGAACGCATACAGCAAATTATGGAGCGAGCGCTGATAGATGCCAAGTGGGTGATACAAAAGGTATTCCCGTCATCGATCTGCATTAAGTTCGATAGTTGAATCGGTAATAATGTGTACTTTTTTCTTTATGTTCGACAGTATAATCAGCCAGGTAGTACTCCGACGTCCAAATGATAAATCGACACAAATTATAATTTACAAATATATGTGTCAAATTAGTATTAGATAGAAAAAAATATGAATTTTGAACAAGTTGTTAGTGCGAGCACCAACGGCAATAACTCACACTTTTGGAAAGCTATCGGGATTTGGATGAGAAATCCACATGTTGTGAATCGTCGGGTCCTGGCGTCTCAAGAATTATTAGTGATCGTAGCCAACTGTAATGCTCTGGATATTTTTAAACGTATCGAGAAATTGCAGATCCAACTTGATAATTTTGAGTGTGATGCATCTTCAAAGGATACAAAGCATTTATTAGATATCTTGAATATCGCAGAATATTGTCAATCAATTCAATATCCAATCGATTCGATCGAGACGTTAGACAACGATAAGACTTACCTGCACGTGAGGAAGTTGCTGCCTCGCAATACACAAATATTCTCGCCCACGTTGGAATTTGTGTTCATCGACAAAAAGTCGGTTAGTGTTACTAGTCTCCACAAACCGATCGTCCCGGATAAACGATCCTTGGGTCCGAGTACAGCCTACAGGATACAGCATCGTGAATTCATTTCTACATGTATAGACATATGCAATTCGGACGAAGATAACGATAAAGGTTGTGATTGGCTCAAGTCTAAGTTCTTTCCGCGGCTGATGAAATGGATGGATAGCAAGGATGAAAACGCTGGTCTGAGAATCAATTCTCTCGGTCTTATCTCCATCGAGAAATATACTTTCCTGTATAATCGGTTGAAAGAGAAGTACGGCGCGGGTATGGTAAAGGTGTGGTCGGAGAATACAGATCCGGCGAAGTTCATCTACGAAGATGTCGCGATCGCGACTTACCTGTTACTTCTATGGGAAAAGGAGAGATCGGAAAAAGGGCTGCAGGGATTACAATCGTTCGTTGACCTTGGCTGCGGAAACGGTCTTCTCGTTTACATCTTGTCGAGCGAGGGTCATAGAGGGACAGGAATTGATTTACGCAGGAGGAAGATCTGGGATCTGTTTCCGGAGAGCACTCATTTACAAGTACGTGAAGAATTCGCTGCAACAGTCATTTAAATGAATTCGAATATTACATCAGTTCACAAGTCGAGTCTTTATTACTATTAATAATTTTTTTTTCAACTATCGATTGTCATAAATACGAATTTATGGATTGATGTAAAATATCAATATTTATTATGTTATATTAGATATGATCTCTTAATAGTCATGTTTTATTATAGGTCGATACAATTGTTCCTTCCTCAGACACGATCTTCCCTAGCGTGGATTGGATTATAGGTAATCATTCAGATGAGCTTACCCCGTGGATTCCCGTGATCGCCGCGCGCAGTTCCTACGAATGCCGGTTTTTCTTATTACCATGCTGTGCTTACGAATTTGACGGCAGGAAATACCAACGGTACAATGCCGCTGAGAGCCAGTATTCGGAGTACATGTCCTATGTTAGAAGCATCTGCGAGGGCTGCGGTTTTCTTACATCAGTGGACAGACTGCGAATTCCGTCGACCAAGCGGACCTGTTTTGTCGGATGGAAGAGGACTTACGCGAAGGAGAATACCGCGGCGTTGGACGCCAATATCCAGAGGATCATAAACGCGAGGTCTACGTCTTTGGAGGAGAGCGTAAAGATCGAAGCGAAGGAGGATGATAGAGGTCTATGGTCCGCGAGTTTTAAACCGAGAGAGTCGACGGAACGAACGCGGAATTGCACACAACTGGACAGAGATCTGATCCTCGAGATAATTAACGCGGTCGCAGCGCATCTCCTCCGTGCAGGTCGTAGGATACCATTGGAACGGAGACCCGGTGAAACATGGAATGCCGGCGGACAGATCGGCATCGGTGAATTGGCAAAGATGATCGCACCCAGGATGTTGCAACAGCTGCGAAACGAGTGTGGCGGGCTGCAAACCTTACTGAAGAATCACAGTCATATCTTCTGCGTCGCTCAGGGGAAGGTGCAATTTAGAATTCCCGGTACCGTTGACAAGAAGAAGAAAAAGAGGCGAAACACTAGCGCACCTCTGAAGAAGGTGAAGCCCTGCTGGTTTCATAAGAATCATCCCGACGGTTGTCCCGCTCTCGAAATCGACTGCGATTTCCAACACTGAGTCCCCTGATCTTGTTGTTGTTCTACATTGAAGAGTTGTTTTTATATACTTATATTTAAGTCAAATGTTACGGTGTTTTATTTTAAATAAAAGAAAATATCGGTTGTTGTATGTCGAAAAGAAACTCTCGTGCAATAATTTCATGATGCGCGCGACTCGATAACACAAAATATAATAATAGCCGACACTAAATACAGACGTTAAATTACGTCTCAAATATACTTATTGTTACAACAGCGATACGCAAAATGTACACATCACAGTTTTGACCATTTGCTTAACATATTGGAAATATTCCACTTTATATCTATTCAACGTTTAAAAACATGGTATTTAATCATCGTATTAAACTCATTTGCAGCGTTTTTAATTAGTACATTATATTACACACTTATAAGCAATTGATTCAGATCACAGGATTGATCTTCTCGAAAGAAGCATGTCTTGAAATTTTTTGAAACATTTACTTGAGAAAATCTACCACCAGTATATCATCCAGGCTCACCAGTTTGGCATCATTGTTTTGATTGTCTTGTAAAAGTGCACCCAACATCTGCTGGCCGCTCTTTAGCTTTTTGACATCGAGCATGACCAGTTGATGGACTCGTTTCATATGCGTCTGCAAGTTGCATTTCTGCGTGAACAGGTGCTTGCAGTGCGGGCAAGAGTATGGTCGGTCACCAGTATGGTGCTTCTGATGCAACTGCAATGTAAACTTCTGTGCAAATGACTTGCCGCATTGCTCGCACTTGTATGGACGTTCCCCTGTGTGAATGCGCTTGTGCCGTTCCATTTGATAGGGTTTCATAAACGTTTTACCACACACGTCGCACTCCTTCCTCGAAGATTGCGGAGAAGCTTTTGCTGTCGTTGCCGTCGTTTGATCGCTCATCTTTATTTCAGACACACCGTCAATACCGTTTACGCTTTGATTCTGTATTTGTACCATAGAAACAGGAGGCATATAATTGTTCATTGCAAGAACTGTCGCATTGGTCGCATTCGCGATTGTCGTCTCTGTCGGCACTTGGCTAGTTATCACGACGTGATTGGCGTTATTTAAATTACAAGCTTCTTGGAAAGGATCTTGATTAACCAATTCAATTACATTGGTTGGTACTCCAGCGCTGATGGTATCGGAACTATTAGTCGCTGATTGTGTCAGAAGAGGATCGTCTGTTTGAATAGTGACGAGACCAACGTTCGCCAACAAGAACTGTACCAACTCATTGTTCTCGTTCACGGAAAGCATGTTGCTGTTGTTGTTGAGAATTGTTGTCGCATCGGTATTGTTGAATGCGATTTGATTCGACAGCTGAATCGTAGTACCAAGATTTACTGTCTGCTCCAACGAGGAATAATCTAAATTCTGCGATGGCGTGGCCTCAACATTAGTCACAGTTGTCGCCGTCGTCGTCGTTATCGTCGTTGTTGTCGCCGTTATTGCTGTTGTGGTCATTGAGGTATTCTCCACTGAATTATTGCCGATTTTTTCGAGATTGGCTACCGCTTCCGCTACCGCCGCGATCTTTGAATGCTTCGGTTTGCGTTTTGTGCCGCCCTTATGTTCTCTCGCATGTTTCAGCATGTGCACCTTCTTGTGACCTGAGGTACGGAATCGTAGATCGCACACAGGACATTTGAATGGCTTCGAACCTGGAAGATTTAAAGTCATTACAAACCGTCATACTTTCCTTCGAGTTAACCTTCTTATAGTTAACACATAATTTTGATGTTTTAAAGTAAATGAATGAAACCTTCAAAGAATTTATTCTTGTATTACAATTATTCTCTCTGATACAATAATTAAATAATCCAAAAAAATTAGTTACCAGTATGCAATCGCATATGGACTTTTAAACTGCCTTTCGTAGCGAACATACTGCTACAGACATGGCAGCAAAATGTCTTCTTGCCCGTGTGAACCTTCATATGCGAATCCAGAGTGCACTTGACTGCGAAACTCTTGCTACAGTGTTCACACTGATACGGTCGTTCGCCTGTATGCGTGCGAATGTGTCTAATAAGATCACTCGGTTTACGAAATGTTTTTGGACAATACTTGCATTTATTAGTATATTCCCTTGTTTCTTTCTTTTCCACGTTCTCCTGGATGATCAAATCACGTTATACGTCATTTCGCTCATGTAAAATGTTATAAATATTTATATATACTTACATCCGCGTGGTCCATGCTCTTCCTCTCAGCAACTGCATCCATCAAAACTTTCTCGGAAACGGAGGAGTCCGCGTTTATTGGGACATCCAGTGTCGGTATCGATGGTAATCCGGAATTCGAGGAAGTAAGTTCCTTTTGAGAGCTGTCCGATTCCATGGATGAAACATTCCAAGACTCGGTATGCATTTTGCTGTGAGATTTCAATTGCAGTTTACTCCCCAGTATCTTTTGGCAGGTTGTACATTTCCACCGTCTGTATAAAAAAAAATCGAAAAAATAATGTTATGACTTTTTATTAAGATACTTGAGATGTCTCTCATTTTGTCGATCGATTTACTTACTGCTTGTTCGTGTGCATTTTCATGTGCCGACTGAGACCGCCGTTCGTACAGAATCGTTGAGAACATTCCGAGCATTCGTACTCTTTGGCACCGCGATGAGATCTCAGATGTTCCTGTAATAGTCACGTTAATCTCATTATGTGATTTAGAAAGCAGTGTAATTTTATGTTGCAATTTATCTAAGAATATCTAAGAATATCTAAGAAACATTTCTTATACCTTTAATTTTTCTGTCGTGAAACCTTGATTGCCGCACATATGGCACTGCAACAGAGTATTGCACTCTGATATTTTAATAGGATTATCCATATCAGAAGAGATAAGTATCTCCGAATTCATTGCACTTTGAAAATTCTTCCTACAAGTATTATATTAATTATATTAATAAGTATTTAATTGTTCTATAATAAAGCCGTTTCTCATTAGAATTATAACAACTTACATAAACAAAGAATTTTTCTCATCCTCATTTTCGTATGACACAGAGTTACTTTTCTGCGTTGTTTTTTCATGTTCATTCACACCTTGTATTTCCGATTCATTTGTAGTGTCTGCTTTCGCAATAACTTTCGAATACTTCGACGGGCATACTTGCGAGAGTCTCATCAATTCTGAGCAGTTCTCCTTAGAATTTATTACCACTAGATGAGTATTTCTTGTAATTTGAGAAGTATCTATATTGCTGATGGTACTAACAGGAATAGCTTGTTGATCCTCTTGCTGATTACTTCGCACGGATCGGGGCAAGATATTGGATATGTTCGTGACATTACTCGGATTTAAACCGATGTCTATATCGTTGTCCGTCTAAAAAATCGATCGATTAATAATTTCGTGCTTCTAATGTATCAATGAAATATGTACGCTTCTGTACCGATATGTATAAGTTTTAGAATTATTTTTGTATGTAGAAAATTCACCTGTAACGTAATTTGATTCATATCCAATGAATCAAATTGTGGCATAAATATAGTATTGCTCGATGATTCCATGTTCTTGTTATGCTCGTATATAATATTGAGCACCGGTTGTTCCCTAGAATTATTAAGAGAACTCGTATTCGTTTCGTCCATCTGCCTTGGTAGATTATTTGTTTCCAATCCGAGATTCACGCCGATATTAAGCAGTTGCTTTAGATTCAGAGTTTCCTCGAGTTCCCGCATGCTTTCCTATACAAATTTCCGAATATAGAATTCATGTCTTTTTTATAAAATATTTATATATCTATTAAATAAATATTAATATTACGCACTGGCGTAAAAGTTTGATCCCCTGAATAATGAGGTAACGTGATGGTACCGGTTTCATCAGCGTGTAGAGTTTGTGATGTTAAATTAGTGTCGAGAGATAAATTTTCTGAAATAAATGCGTAATATAAGACCAATACAACATAAGATCAATATAAAATAATATAAGATCAAACTCTACTTTATATTTGACCAAAAAATTTTCAAATTTTGTTTATATTTGCATATCTTTTGGAAAACGTACGATTCACTATTGATGGCATTGTGTTATCCGTTAATAAGAAAGATTTTTCTTTTTCGCTGATATTTTGATGAAATTGATCAGAGAAAGCTTGAGTAAAATCTGGCGCCATTTGCGGTTGAAACGACACTTCCATATCTTCGGTGAGGGTGATGTTTTCCGATAATGCCGGGATAACTGTTTTATCGTCGCTCAAAGGCTGTGACTCCTTTTGCTCCTGCGTCTTTTGTTCCTCCAATTGCTGTTCGTGCGTATGAGATTTTAATACTTTTCAATACTTTCAACAGCACGCGTTAAATATACTTACCCGTTGCGCCAGCTCGAGTCCGTGCTTCCTTTTGATGTGTTTCCGACAATTCACGTATGTTTTAAATGTCTTGTGGCAGTACGGACACATATACGGCCTTTTATTGCTATGCGTGACTAAGTGCCTCTTCATGCTGCTCTGCGTCGAGAATTTTACATCGCATACTGAACAACTGTATGGCCTCGCGTCCTCGTGCGTGTGCAGATGAGATTTTAGGACGCTATTCGACGTAAATCTCCTACAAAATCAAGAAATGTAATTCTTGATTGACGCGTGCAAGATACATTAAAATATAGAATTAATCAACAAACAGTCTGATCAATTGTTTGATCTATTCGCTTTTTTCCTTACATAACTCTTAAATTAATAAATAAAAAATTAATAATTCTTTAGAGAGATATTAGCCAAATTTCGAACCTGTCGCACTTGGAACATTTGTAAGGACGTTCGCCCGTATGCCTGCGAAAATGTTGCTTCAGATGGCTGACTTTTCTAAACGCCGCATGACAGACGAAACACTCGTGCGGCCTGGCCACGCCAACGCTTTCGTATAATTGTTTTTGTTTCGACTGCACTTGCGCAACGCTGATTTTATTGCCGGTGTCGCTAATGACGAGCGGTTCTTGCAATACCACTTGCGGCACTAGACTCTGTGCTTCCGGCGATATCTTGGATTTTTCTTGCGTATGACTTTTCACGTGGTTTTTCAGGATGTTATTCGTGCTAAATGATTTGTCGCATATGTTGCATTTATGCGGTTTCGTATGTAATCTGAAATAAGAAATAAGTTCTTTACTAATTTGGATCTGTTTACTAATTAGTCCTGTTATATTTACATTTTTAAATAAATTTTCAAAATAAAAAAGATTATTAAAAGATAATTAAAAAAAGAAATTAAAAAATTAAAAGTAAAAGATAGTAAAATCTATGGATATAAAATCAAGAGCAATGTATGAAAAATCTATAATTGTCATTATATTTACAGAAGAAATAAAACAGATACATATACAAAAAAATAGAAATAAACGATGAATTAAACTGTGTGAAAAACATTAAAACTTACCTCATGTGAGCGGTAAGGCTGCTATGACAAGCGAAAGTTTTATCACAGGACTCGCAAGCGTATTTTTTCACTCCAGTGTGAGTTCGCTCGTGCGCTATCATTGTCGACTTTAATGCGAAAGAACGCACACAATACATACACTGAAACGCACAAAATAGATCAGATGATACATCTCGATGTTCAAAAACGAAAAAATTTAATTACCTTGAAAGGTTTCTCTTGCGTGTGTACTCGCAAATGGCGTATCAAGTCCGACGGCTTTTTGAATTCCTTTGGACAATACGAACATGCATACCATCGGACATTTCCTATACAGCGTTGCTTTATGGTGAGATACTTCCTGTGGATGTAGAATTGCTTATTACGCAAACTATGATAATATAAAAAATTTCGTTCATTTCGATTAATAATTATCAAATATATATTTTAAATTGTTAATCTATTTCTTTGTAAATAAAGAATATTACTTTGAAGTACCCCCAGCGGTTCTGTCTAATAGCGTGACATATGACGTTGGTGAATCCGTTTTTTTCGGTTCTGTAGTTCCTGCTAACAAGAAAATATTAAATAATTTATTAAATTATTTAAAGCAGCAAGACTATAGAAAATTTTTAAAAAATTTACATTTATCTTGAGATGCAATGAACTGCAAATATCTAAGACAATTACCTTTCGAAATTACTTCATTTTTATTCGGCAAGCCACTGTTTTTTAACGCTTGTTGCAGGATATCGTTCTCTTCTACATTTAACGTTGTGGGCCTTATCGAATCCGTGGTATTGCTTACGGCGGATTCTAGAGACGCCAATTGCGATATAACGCTGTCAACGGTCGCACGCATGTCAGCTTCCGATGAGATACTGGAATTATCTTCCGTGGGCTTGACAGCGGATTCCTACAACAAGCGTGACGATTTTTATTCTCGTAACAATTATTCCATATAACAAGCAAATGTCGGGTTTACCTCCGCGGACACAGAATGCATTCGCTTTATGTGCCCGTTTAAACTGCCTAACTTCTTGAAAATGCAAGAGCAAAAGGAACAGGCGTACGTAGGTTCACCTTCTGGTGCATTGTGCACTCTGAGTATATGCGCCTTTAGATTCCCTGAAAGATCAGTAAAACAGTAAGACTCGCACCATAATTAAAAAAAATTCTATATAATATTAATTACAAATTTTACCTTTTTGACTAAACTTGGCATTACAGAGGCTACAAGTGTGCGGCCGAATACCCTTGTGTTGCCATGTGTGAATTTGCAATGAACTCTTTTGAGTAAACGCTCTGTTGCAAATCGTACACTACGCAAGAAGAAGCATATGTAAAATGAATGTTTTTTTAAAGCATCATCACTAATTAGTTTCCTCTGGAAGGCGTCTTACCTTAAATGGCTTTTCTCCAGTGTGTACTCTAATATGCCGCATCAATTGGCTCGGTTTTTGGAAGATCTTCAAGCATATGGTACATTTGTACATTGTTTTGTGTTTCGTTCCCCTCTTGGTTTGCTTTACTATCTTCGTTTGTAGCTGTAGAGAAAATAAATGCGATAAGACTCCGAGCATAGAGAGAAAAACGCGATCTGTTTATTAGAAGCGTAAAAGCGCTCTCAAGGAAAAAAAATAACATGAAGTGAAAAGTTTTATTACAGTTTTATGTCAAAAATAAAGGAAGAAAAAATAAAACATTACTAGTGTTATTGAATCATTTATAAAATGCAATATTTAATAACAATCTCATACTTACTCTGTAATGCTCGCGAATGTGCATTCGGTAAAGCGCGGGTTGCACAAATTGCTTGTTGCACAATTTACATTTTCGCACATCCTCACTCGCCCACTTTTCCCCGTGAAGCTTCAAATGCGCGTCCAATTGAGCCTGTTACGATACATATAAACATAATTGAGATCTCCGAAATATTTATTAGCAATTATTTTACATATTATTTATTTCATAGATGATTTATAAAGATGATTTATTTTATATTCCCCACAGAATACGCATCTCTGAGTAGTCTTTGCGACTAATAATTAACAAATTGCCGAGATCGACTGTACCTTATAATACTGAGCGCTGATACCAAGAGCAAGATGGAACACGCGCGTGCAGATAAAGAGAAGCGCGAAATTCAGGCAGTCTACGGCGAACGACATATCGGAAGTGCGGCTCGGATTATGTCGTGTAACATAAAGTAATACGCGCCGGCGGGCAGTGAGTACTTATATGGCAGTGTTTGGAGCAAAAAGTAGGACACATTGAGCCCACCACGGTGACCCACCGAATATCATAGCTACGATCGATCGATCGAAGAAACGCCTTTTTCTCGCGGTATCAACGCTGATAAAGAATGAACACAACATTGAACACAAAGTTTGACTGTTTACTATCGTGTCGCGATAGTAAATTGAATCACGTGGACGTTGCGTACACAGGCCATTCTGCTAACGGGTCGCGGACGATTTAAATTCAGAATTCAAAAGTCAAAGTTTCACAGTTTCTTTCGTCGTCTACCGATAAAGAAAGGAAAGAAGGAACGAGGTGAATTAGAAATCAAATTATTTGTGGACCATTAAGTAATTGATTATACGTGAAGTTTCATCGCTTCGCAACTATCACGTGGTACATTTCACGATGCGACAGCCGGTCGACTGCAAGAACTTGGGCTCCATTCTCTCTTTCTTCCTCCCTTCTCTCTATACTTTCTTCTGATATTCTCTTTTTCTCTATCTTCTCTCTTGGACGATGTCATATCAGAGCATATAATTCTTTTTCGTCTTCTCTTTTCCTTTTTTTCTCCATCACCCTCGTCCGTATCTCTTCCTTCTATCTTTCTTCGGCGAATTTCATCTCCTTGCATGTAATAAGATTCTTCTTCTTCTCCCCTCCTCGCAGCACCTCCGAAGCCTGGCAGTGACGGTTTCCAGAGGCAAATCTCGGAGATCGCTGTTCTCCGCTTTAATTCCCGCGCATTGCCATCAGTACTGCGCCTCCGAGGGAGGACGTTGCACTTTTTCCGGCACGCACATCACTCGCGATCCAGCAACAGCTGCTTCCTCCCCGCTCGCCGTTTGATGGCTCTTCCCAAAGATGCCCGGTCTTCCTCGTCGTTTCTCTTCCTCTTCCTCTCTCTTCCGCCTACGGATTGTCGTACTCCTCTTCCTCTTCCGCTTGATCGACCTACACGATCTTTCGTTTCTTCTTCTTCTTCTTCTTCTTCTTCTCTCTTATGCGTTTCCCTCTTCCGAAGTTCGTTTCTTTTTTCAACAGCAGCAGCACTTTCTTCGCGAGATTTCGATTCACCAATGACAAGCTCACGGCTCGCATCTCGGATTCCTCCGATGCCGCCGACAAACGCTACGAGATGAGCTGGCGATCTGCATAAGTAAACCTGAGACAGCATAACTCGTAAGTTCGTAAAATTTTACGATAGACGAAGATTTTAAGATTGGCAACATTTCAGATAAAATGATGGAAAAAGAAACGATGGAAATTTTTTTTTCTGTCTTTGTAATTCTTACACGTGGAAAAATTGGAAGAAAACATTTCTGAAAATATTCCACAATTTACAGAACATTACAATTTGCGTAAATAATAATTATCTACAACTAGGGATATAACAGCAAAACGTGTGAATTGTTAATTGAATGATCAAAAATTAAAATGGCAATGAGATTGAGAACATCTATCTTCGTCTTGAATTTTAATCCCGGACTTTATGCTGGCAGTATTCGAAAAAAAAAAAAAAATCCAGAGATCGATGAATCGGTGAATATATTTTGTTGTAGTGAAATCCTTTATGGCGAAGCGCATCGAATCATAAGAGCACGGAACATCTAATCACATCGGACGTAGTGATTCAGGAAACGACCTCCGGCTTCGATACACCGCCCACCTTCAAGAAGAGCGCATCATCGTCAGATCGTAAATTACTTAAAGCACTCCTTTGCATCTTGCTTCTTGCCACAAGACATTCATAAATTCACGTAGTATAAGCCAACACATTGGATCAGAACTAATATCAAAGGGAATTAGAATGAAGAATTATTATTTATAAAAATATGTTATGTCATTTGAGAGATCTCATTACGCGAAAGGACGAAAAGATCGGCTCTGTAGGAGTTCCTTGTCTACATTTTTTTCTCGGCAAAGCTTGTCTACATTTTTTTCGAGCACTCGGAAACGAGGAGGCGAATCATTGCACAACAACGGACGGACAATTGGCGTGTCAAATGTCAAGCGTGCGACGCGAATGACTCGAGACTGAAGAGTGAAAAGAAGACTAATGATATTCTTAAGGGTCGGAGTTCCTAAAATACGGTCTCGTGGAAGCGTCATCGGTTTCCCCGTACTAAATCGCTCTCTTTCTCGCCATCGCAGATTTCGCTGATCGTCTCCCTCTGGTCTTCATCTTCCTCAACGCGTCACATCACGGTTGGATTATTATTGCTTCGTGTGTAAACATGGGCGCGAAACGCGCCTTTGCGAAAGATCGCGCTGTCTCTCCTAAGCTGCTAAGAATTTCTTCCGCGAAGAAAACTTGATCTACCGTACGCGTTAAAGCAGTACGACGTGACGCTTATCGTTCATTTTATATCTTCAGTTGGCTGTGATTCAAATAACGAGTGATCTCGACGGAGAATCGATTTTCAGGGTTAATGTTATTAATAATAGTGAGTTATCGGCGGGACGGCGGCTGTATATCCTCTCTCTTCCCGGTAAAGTTCAACGGTTCGTTTCTTATCAACGGCGGCCGTATTATCGGTCACTTTTATTTCATTCGACGATCCTTCCTCTCCTCCGTCTACTTCTGCCTCCTCCCTCGCGAACTGTTGTTTTATATTTGTTATCCTTTACCGGTTCACCGTAGATTATCAATATTATTCGAGACGCATCGAGCACCAACTATATCTAAGAATAATAAAAATATCAATTATTCATGCTCGATCTTTTTCTTTTTAGAAATTTCGTTTCATGTCGCGCGCACGCGCGCGCGCACACACACGCACACACACACACACACACACACACACACACACACACACACACACACACACACACACACACACACACACTATGTAGTAAAGAGAGACACCATCTGCATAATTTCTATCACAAACTTCGGTTTTCGGAGTAAAGGCGAGGGACCTCCTCGGAGATCTTTCAAGTCCGGCGCCAGAAAAAATATACGGGTCCGTAGGCGGGCGTGTAAAAACTACCGGAACGACTGTGAGAAACTACGTTCCAAGAGAAGATATTCTTCCCCGTCGACATTTGGCAGTAGATAAGATACTAGGCAGCGAAAATCAGCGAAGTTGTAATACAGAATTGAGTATGGTCAATTACGGTCAATCGATTATCGATCGATTGAGCAAAGGCGACAGCTCATTTCAATTACATGTAAATTGCTTTCATTATTATTTTTCGAATCCTTTCAGTCTCTTCAATGGAGAAAGATCAGATCAGTTAGTAGCAACTCTCTGGAATGCGTGACCATGATTTAATCAATCTATCGCACACCACGTTTCCTAATAAATCTAACAAGGAGGACTTGAATAACAGCCACGATGATTTTATAAATAGATAAATGTTAATTCCTGCGACACAACCGACAACATGCGATCCTCAATGAAACCGCACGTTTTTCGTGGAAGATGAGTGTTCGACAATTGGATAACAAATGCAAGCACGTGTGCGCTTCGCGAGTACTCACTGCCCACTGACGAAGCGACTGTAAATGTCGCTTACGTCGTCGTCGAAATCATTATACTCGCCGTCATCGTTATCGGTTCTCCTTTCTCTCCGCGAGTTACTTTTGGATTCATCCGAGAAACGTCACAGTAGACGAATTGTATTAGATCTAAGTTTGAAACTTAGATCTCTACTGTTTATTCTCTTCTTCTTTATCTTCAATTTTTTTTTCTCCTTCATCATCTTTGATGTATACAGTCATTTCTGTATTTTTATGCTCAAATTTTCATATTTTTATTTCTTTCCAATTTGTTTCACTTTTGCAGATTTACGATGATTATCTGCATACTTCTGATGAAAAAACTTACAATATTTAACTTAAAATGTTATTGCGTCTATTTTCTTCTTATTTATCTTCAATTTTTTTTCTTTTTAATCATCTTCAGTGAATACAGTGAGCGCTTTTGTATTTTTTTATGTTCAAACTTTTATACTTTTATTTCTTCCTAACTTGTTTTATTTTTGCAACGATTATCTTTATACTTCCGACTAAAAAAAAAACTTAAAATGTTTATATTGCTTTTATCATTTGCTATCTCTTTATTTGAATTGAATTTTCAAGCGTTTAATTTCACGATTTCTCTACATTATTTTTTTTTTCACTTTTAAAATTTGTTATATCAGATACATTGACCGCATGATGCACGATGCAACGCTTCCTGGAACCTGTTCCACATTTCGATTATGTTGTGCGACATGCATGCGTGTGTGCGTGCATCGAGATGCGGGCGTACGGCGCGTGTCGGCGACCAAACGGCGAGGAATAATCGGCGAGAGATCTGTGTGAGATCATGCGATTCGGTTGCGTAATTCCTGTGCGCCTCATTAATACAACCGCCGTCGCCGCCCACTTGCCCATGTTTTATTGCAGCCCACGTTGCTTATCACGGTCACGCATGATTGTTGCGACGATCGTTGCGGTGATCCGATCGATCCTTATTGTCTCCGTAAACTCGGAAGATTGCAGACAAGACTTCTTCTTCCGAAGCGAACATATAGTCTTCCTCTGCCATTGATCAATTAAAATGCTCGAGCGAAGATATGCATTATCGCAAATGCATGATTCATTCTCATTCTTCGCAGATTATCGCTAAGGATGGCTAATTATATAGATGCTTCTCTGTGAATATGTAGCAAAGACGAAGCAACTAAATGCCATTGATGGTTGGCGAAGTGCGCAAGGCTGATTATTGCTGGCACACTTTGACGACATGAGATAATGTCTCTTAATCTTCGAGAACATTGAAGGGAATTAATAAATCATCTCTATTTATCTAGCTGCAGTCGGCTACAAGGACACATTGCGAGAATTGCGGATTCCTATTTTCTACGATCGCTTGATTTCGGCTGGCCGACGGCGAGCAAATAAATTATGGGTCACTGAAATCGACCCTTGATTAAACCGAGTAACATCAAGATCTCCGTTTTACATTCACATTATTCGCTGTATTAGCAAAACCAAATTTATTTAATAACGTCGCACCTTATCCGTTAATAATAAATAGTTCCTTATCGGATCGTTCGATTATATTAAAATGCTGTAAAATAATAATAAATATATTTCAAATAGATTCGCGAATTTTAAATAGGTGAGCAGAATTTATGTTATTAATTAAGGTTTATGAGCACGACCCATATCAACTCGGGCACGTGGACCGATTGAGGAAGCGAATAAACGAATACGAAGCGAAAACTAACATTTTACTTTTTAGTTGTGATAATTAGAATCGTATTCGCAAAGATGAAGAATTATCGGTAAGTCTGCATGATCAGCATGGTCTGCGATTGGCAGAACATCGATAAAGCAATCTTAGCGCAATAATTTTTATACAGACGATTTCAAAATTCATCAAATTGATATATTAAGATCTGCCTTATTTTTTTTTAGTTGAATTTTTACATGTAGTAAAAAATTTCCCTTAGAAGTAAATAAAAATATAAATAATCTCAAACTTACCTTTGTCGAAAAGGCGTCTTCGCATTCCGTGCAAAAGAGATTCTCCTCCTTCTCATGTAGCAACATGTGAGATTTCAGACTCGCCATTCTGGCATATTTTCTACCGCATTCGGGACATTTTGGATCGCCGGTATTATGCGTTGCCATATGAAGCGTGAAATTTGTCTGCAAGCATACCATTGTACAGAGTTACTAGACTGAATCCACAGCTAATACATCAAGAAGCAACTTTCTCTGAATACTATTAATACTAATTTTATAAGCGATTAATTAGGGATTGAGCAGGTTTGTTCGATAAAATTGTTTAAGGAGATGTTTCAGCAATCCCATAATTATTTTTCTATATATTTCTGTATATAAAATATAGTTATATAATTTTATTATACTATATATTATACTATATAAATTAATAAACAAATCAATATATAAATTGAAAATAATAAATTAATGTATTAAATTATAAAATACACATTGACATGTTATAGCGTACGAAGTAAATTTTAGAGGATGATAGATCCATCAAAAGAATCTATTTTTGTCAAGGATTCTATCTAAAATGTCTTCTGATGCGTTCTTAAAGAGCTATATATCCTTATTTGAACCGTTTAAAATAGATAATCGATCACAAAACAGTACTGCACATGTTTGATGATACTAATAAATAATCTAATAATTCTTTGAAAAAAAGACAGAAATTAAAAGTGAATGATTCGAAATTCTCTTCAAAGACACGTCGGAGGACATATATTCTTTGACAAAAATTGATTCTCTAAATGAGATCTATCATTCCTTGAAGTTTATTTCATGAATCCTGAAATCCTAAATAACTTGATTAATTTTTCCGTTTCCTTAAGATTTGTAATCATGAAATTCTCTTAAGATCACACATTTAATAGAAAAGATATCAAAAAAACTTACTGGAATATTAAATGATGCTGGACATTTCGGACATCTATGTGGTTTTTCCTCGGCATGATTTTCCATATGTCTACGATACACTGTCTGTTTAGTAAATTCTTGTCTGCATATATCACATTTCAGAGACTGTATATTCTATAACAAAAATATTAAGAATATATAACCTCGAGACGAGATTAACAATCAGAATTGTGTAAAATAAAACTATTTCAAGCAAACGTAAATATTCAATCTGTTTTAGATAATGGATAACTCAAGAAACTACTCTCAAGTTGATATAGATATTAACCAACAATGTTAACATACTTGTGAAGTTATCCCAGTCTTTTTCGGTCTTCCTGGGGATCTGTTGCAGACGTTTTGTATCGCAGATACAGGCGTAGATCTGCTTTTAGCATGATTATCAATTGTCGATTGTTCCTTGATCGATAACACATCGCTATTATCTCTAGTAATAGGTAACAAAGATTCTGTAACAACACATTCATTTGTATCCTGCACTTTAAGCTGCTCCGTTACTGAAGACCCATTCTCAAAATGTTGTATTAGTGGCAGTAGGTTTGTTTGTTGCATCACAGTTCCAGGCAGACCTTCTACATTCAATTGAAGAACAGGCTGAAACAAATATTCATGTCAAACTAATGCATAACATATTTCATCCATATATTGCTTAATATATCTGAAATTTTATTAAATATATGTACTGGATGTAAAATAAAACTTCCATCCATAGTTTTTATTAGTGCTGGAGACACCACATTATTTTGTGGCATTAATGTAATAGGCGTCGCCATGAATTCTAATATACCATCTTCATGTTCTGAAAAAAATTAAATTCGTGATGATACAAACAAGTTTTGTACAAGCAAAATATACATTTATTCATTACATAATCTTTCCACTTATTTATTTCTAATTTCAGTAAAATTAGTGACATATAAAAAAACATAAGCAGTAAGATCTTAACATTAAGCCAATTGACTAATTAAATTGAATAACTAAATTGACAACTATCAAAAATATAAAATTATTATTTTAAAATTGTTGGCCATAATTGGTCAATTTTCTTCTCTTGTTTACGTTTTTCTATATCACGAGTTTAAGCCCAATATATCGACATAAAATTTTAATTTTATAGATAAATCTTTAATTGTTATGTTTATGTATGCTAAGAATATAGCATATAATATGCATTCATAAAATATTTACATACATATTTCTGTAATTACTTGTTTAAATATAACATATTAGTTCTATTATCTTACCACCCACTGCCAATAATGTCTGACCATCGTCTGTTGTAATAAAACCAATTGGCATTGTATCACTGGAATCAGTCAGCTCCATAATCATATTCTGTTCCGTTAACATATTGGTATATTCTTAACACAATGACAAGTAGATCTCGAATAACAAACAACAGAGCTTTTACAAATTCACACTTGCTTGTGCATAATTTGACAGATCCAGTTATATGATTAAATGTTCAATTGCTGTAGTTCTTGCTGTAACACAATTATATTAATAATGAAGCATTATGATAATCAGATTCTAACATAATTCAATAAATCTAAATATTCAATCAGTTTCTCAGCTATAATTCTTACTAATGTAATTATATCATCCATAAATTATGATAGTTAGATCTTAATATAATGAATCTTAATATAATGAATCTGATCCAAATGGTTATAATTCTCGCTATAATACAGTTATATCTTGTTTACATATTAATCACTATGAAACCAGAGATTTAAGCCAATATTTTCTATCTTCAATAACATTGTCGTACAAAATGTTTGCTCAAGTCTAAAAAAAGTTACAAACATAAATAAAGTTACAAATATTAACTTAAGAGCTTTTAAGTTATCTTGCATTCTTGATAATTCTAAACTTAAATAGCCAATTTACTTACTGTTTACATTTTTCTATGTCCACTAGCCTAAGCCTTGATCCATATGCGATTCTAACCTATACACAAAACATGTCATGGATTAATTCTTCAAATCGTGCGTACTATATATTGATATTGGATCGAATGTACCTGACTCGATGCGATAAACTATCTCAAAACTTCTCACTCGGGGAGATTCGATAAAAAGAATCCTCTACTTCGCGTCTAAGCGTCTCCATATGTTGTTTTTTCGCCACCCTCTATCTCTCTCTTCCTCTCGTTCCCTCTCATTTTCTCAACGCGGATGCGCGTCATGCCGATCACCGGTTCACGGTTCACGTTCGTCGCATTCACGGTTGCATCCGCTTCCTTTTCCTTTACGGATTATCATAGAATTCCACTTGTCAGCTATTCCTATCAATAAATTGATGCGAATTAACATGATTCGTCATCGCCATCGTTCGCCATCGTCGTATCTTCGAATTTTTCAATTAAATTAATATGAATTTAATCATCTCCAATCTCTGACTACCTTCTTGTCCATTTCTTCTTATCCATATCAATGTAAATTAATTTTAATCTCGATTTAATTAATTTTTTTTAAATTCGAGAACTAGAAGAAGATAGAAAAGAAATTAAACTGAGATTAAAATTACACTATATTAGTAGAAATGTTCGGAATGATATTGACTTCTTTTTTTTTTAATTAGCGATTAATAAATCAATTTATCAAACAACAATTGTATTATTTTATCAACGCAATAAAATTATTAATCTTCAGTTGTTTGATGTATAAAAAGTTAGGATTTTTAAATTTTAATGATGATTTACTTTAAACATTGTATTGAATAAGAAATTAACCTATTATTTAACATAATTTAAAAAATTATGTTAAAATAAAATTAATTTAAGTAAAAAATTAAAATTTAATTTTGAAAGATATTATTTATATTAAAAAGATGTAATTTTTTGAAAATAGATTAATAAAACCATCACAAATGTTAAATGTGTTTCAAAATATAATTATTAGAATTAACTAACAATAAATTGTTAAAAGTTATTAGCTTTTAATATTTGTAACTAATTAACTAATTATTATTATTTGATTTTGTCAAAATCACATTTAAAAAAAAGAGTAAGCTTGTTCTTTTATTTCACTCGCAAAATTCAGAAATTACATATCTCGAAATTACATCTTTTTTCGTTTCGACAGAGAATAGAACACATGTCATATCGATTGTAAGACTGCCATCGATAATCGAATCGAATTTCATGTCGATTCAATGTAAAATGTCAATATTTATCTGTTGAGGTTAGCTTTTCAATGTCGCAAGATTAAATTTGCCGTATTGAAATTAATTATTTTTTAACAAATCAATCGATCCTCGTGAGAGGCAACATGCCGGGTCCAATCGAACACCGGAGTGTTACTCCATTAATAAAATTGATTCGGGACATTGGCCGAGGTGTAAGTAATAATACTCATTTCCAATTATGTAATCCTCTGCGCTTTTTCTATGTTTTACCTAACAAATTACACAGGTTTTTGATTTGTTAATATCATTACGAATTTCTTGAACTATTTCTAGTAAAAAACGAGTGATTTATTACTTGATTATGAGATTTTATCTGTCGATTGATATGTTGAATTTAGGAATACTTAATTTGGAAATGTTTTTTTATGAGAAACACACACACACACACACACACACACACACACACATAACATATTTTATTTGTAAATTATTTTACTTTTGTTTATATTCATCTCTTTTCCATGTAACAGAACAGTTTTAAAATTTGAAAAGTTACATTCGACAATTTACAGATTTATATATCTCTTTTAGGAAAAGCTGTTAACTATAAGTTTTTTATAGAATAATGCATTTATTTAGCAAAAAACTTTTCTAAGAGCATTAGGGCGATAATCAGAAGTTTATAAATTTCCTCTGTTTTCAGTTAGCAGCTTGATAATGTACCTTTAAAATTCTTTTTTTTGTTGTTCTTTATATGCTGTAGAGAGAAGTTACACTGAACAATAGGTGGCCTGATCAGCAGTCTAAGCGCACTCAACCTCCACCAGAAATACCAGGAGGACCGTATCATAAAACTTCAGAAATTTATTATTATCTTCGAGATGGAAGACGAGAGGTTCAACCACCATTAGTAATTACTGGACCAAAACAGATTGGTACAGAGTAAGTATAAATATCAAGAAATTTAAAAGGATTAAAATTTTCATATCTCTCTATATATTTGTTTCTCTGTATATATATATATATATTTTTTATATATAATTATATTTTTATTGGAAAATTTAAAAATGGATTGAGATTATATAGAATTGAAATATTAATATATAGAGTAAAATTTATATATAAATAAATAAGTTTTTATTTCACGGATATTTTTTAACTTTCAGAAAGGAACTTTCTGCTGAAAAGAAATATATTACTCCAGGAAAAACTTATAATTGGGGTTCTTAAGCTTTCTTCAGTCAAGCTAGGGTTATTGTTGTTTCACTGCAAACTACATTGACATATAATATTCAATGACAAGTTTGCTTCATCATTGTACATAGAAAATTAAATTCTTTGCTTTATCACTGTATTGTATTTGTTTGTTACACCTCTTTCCAAAATTATCATAAGTATACATAAAATTGTAAAAATATATCAGCAAACAATATGCTGAAATAAAAAGTATATACGTATGCTCTCTGATATTTTACATGAGATATCTATAATATTTGACATTTTTATAAATATTAAATAAAATGTAATTAAAATACACTGCGAGATAAAGGATATTTAAATAAGTCATCGTGATCAAAGTAATTTAATATTTAACCATTAACAGCGCATAAATTAATCGTAAACAGGAATGTATTCATATACAGTCATGCTGCATACGGCAGATGTATACATATACATATATAGACAATTTCTTGTAGATAAATATGATACATTATTACATACATACATATAAAGCTAAATGCTTTCATAAAATACACATAAAACACTAAAATAACATTGACACCAATATGTTTGTACAATTTCACAGTCAGTAATTATACTGCGATATCTAATAACTGCAGTACATCAAATGCTAGATTTTAATATGATAACAACAATCGTAGGGAGCGCAAAATGTCGCTAATTAAGGACAGGAAAGAGTAGGGAAGGAAGTAAACACTTCAGAAACAATTCAATAAGGGATTTGATTCTGATAATACTGTATCATGTCGTAAGTTTTCGTACGGAAGTTGAGGTAGCTGTTACGTATTACATTGATCATGAAGATCGCCGCGTCGCGATCGGTGGCGGTCGGAACGAATCGACTACGTAGAAGTTTGATAGTTTGTCCACGGAAGCATGGTAATCCCGTGTCGAGCATGAGAGAGACAAGAGAGATAATGGCTTCCTGGTAGGGCCTAAAACGGAGAATACTTAAAGATGCATTTAGGTGACAGATTATTAGCAATGATTCTAGTTGATATTAATAAAATCTAAATGTTTGCTTCGTGCGATATACAGAATGCAAATACAGATTTCAGAACACAGATTCTTGATATAACACTCACCTGACTGCAAGGAAGGCTTGTACGCACAGTTCCATGAACCAGCGAAATGGTGCAGCTTCCATTTTACCGCCCATTACGAGGACCATCTCATCAGTGAGCTTGATGTCGGGCTCGAAACCCAGATTGCCGCCGGGCGAGCTTTCGAACATGAAGCCGAAGTCAATGTGTATGATGTGACCTTGAGTATCTATCATGATATTACCGTTGTGACGATCTTTAATCTGCAAGAGATAAGTGATCACGCTGTACGCCGCCATCGATTTGACAAAGTTGCGACGAACATTTTGGAATTCCTTGGTTGTCTCATCACCATGTTGCGTGATGAAGTATTGATACATATCGCTGTCCGTTGTTCGACCGAGTTGATCTCGTGATGTTGCATGTGGAACACATTCTATCACGCCGCACTGTTAACATAAAGAATTATAAATGCAATTATACATACAAATAACAGATTTATATTAAAATATATTCATAGTACAAAAATTCTTACTCCGGGAGCTGTGGCCACCACTCTGTAGGGAAACAGGAAGAGATTCAACCCGACTTTCTGGAATATGTTCTTAAAAATGCTGATCACCTGTAAAGCCAGCATATCTTGTCTGACGTCATCGCCAACCTTGAAAATAGCGGCCTGCCATATCTGGTCCTCGGTTTCTTTCTTACTTTCAATTTTTCCATTGGTTGACACCGCTAACGCGATATTCTCGAGTTCGTGGATACCATATCTTTGTACTTTGAATCGTGCTAAGAACGGTGCTTTAGCGGCGCTGTAATTATAATTGCACAATATTTTATAATATAATCACCCACCATATATACATTGTTGTTTATTTAAATCATATTAAATTGTACCTTTGCATGGGAGTACCGCTTTGATAATCTATATCAATGACCATTGCCTCGGGATTCGATGGTAGGTAGCAACCGGGTTGTACCTTGACTTTTCCTAAAGCTTCCAGACATGCGGCTTTACGTTCCGGTCCTTTAGGATACGGCCGAATTTCACCCGAAATATTGGTGATTTTCTCGAAAAAGTCGAACTCCCTTTCATAGAATTGTTTCGCTGGGCCGGATAGAGCATTCAAAATATTCTTCGTCAACGAATCTAATACGTCATATAAAACCGGATCTCTCATCTGCTTATCTTCATCCATATACATATTAGTGTGCATGTTCCATATCAACTGATGTGCCACTACCTAAAACGTTAGACGATTACAGTTTCTCTCTGTTTAATATTAAATTTAATTATATTATGTAACATTCATTACCTGCGATCGTTTAGCAATCTTCTTGATAAATTCGATTACGTAACCCATTGAATCATGACGGACAGCTTGTACTAGTTGAGGTATGTAGAAAAGCACAGCATCGGCGGGATAGCTGTCCAATACTTGTACTGCATACTGCGCTGAGATGGGATGATGCGGAAATTGTCGCGAGAAGAATGCCAGAGCTTGAATCGGAGACACTCTTGCCCATGCTAACATATAAACTAACTAAAACAGAATCATAATTTTATAAATAACGAGATAATGTCTAATGTCTATTTATTAGTCAAATAGTAATATTCCAAGTTACAAGGTAGAAATCAATCAAACAATTCTGATTCGTAAATTATCATAAATTATCAACAAACGCGTAAAGTTAAAAATCTTACTTCAGGTACATCGTTGAGAAGCGTGTCCGTTGTAACAAGATACTGTAATGCTTCCGATATATGCATAACTGGCACGGGTTTAAGGCGCACCAAGCCGCAGATCTCTTTAATGATGACTTCGTGATTCTTTAATCGCACTGGCAAAAATATAGCCAAAACAGGACTGATCTCCCACGCGAGCCGCGTATATTCTCGCCAGCGATCGTTCATTCCTTTGGCACGCCAATCTGCGATGCTTCCTTCTCCTTGCAACGCGAGTTCTGGTCTTCCGCCAGGATTACGCCAAACCTCGATAGAAAGCGATATTTTGACGTTAGAAGTTGAAGAGTTTTATTAAAATGACATAGTTTTTTATATATTTACAGTTTATAAAGAGCTTACCAGTAACATTTCGATTTCAACCGCTAATAACTCAAGAATCAAATTTCTCTTCTTGATATAATCTTTCACGAGGACATTAGCATTTACAACTCGTTTGCTGCGATTGCTGCGTTTACTCAACGTGTTAGTGCTAGTCGACATAGGCATGGTGCTCATCCACACGTTGCTGGATGATTTCGAAAATTCGTTCGGTGTGGGAGCTAGCGTAGCGGCTAGCGAACCAATTGTCTCGCTTGGAACGATCATCGTGGTTGTACAAGTTTGAGACGTCACTATTTCAAACTCATTATCGGCTCCTGTCATCATTAAGTATTTTTTGTCACTGTGCATTACCTGCGAAAATAAAAACAGAATAATAATTATATAAAATGCGAATGAAATCTGATATTTTATTAAAAAGATAAAAGATATTTAATATAATTTCTGTAAATAAAATATTTAAAATTTACCCGAATTTTTAATGCTGCTCTTACCTGCCAAAAACGTATCAGAGTAACTATATCTTCGCTAAGCTGATCGATTTCTTGAGTTGGCAATTGGCGTTCTCGGCAAAAATAATCCAGACAATTGGAATAGACACGTTCTCTCAAGACATTCTTGCTCAAAATTCTGGAAGTAGATTCAATTCTTTTTTTTTATTATAGTCGTCGTTTTTCATAGTTTATGCGATGAATAAAAAGAGGATATATTACCTCGGCAAAACATCACCTTGCAACAGCACCAAACCACATGAGAGGAGTTTAAAACGCACGCCAACCGCAGCGACATGTCGAGTGATGCCGGGTTCCTCGCCAGATGCACCGACAGTCATGGGTAATGAGCGATGAAGGAGGATAGCGATCATGTCGACCGTCTCTTGGCAACAATACTTAGCCGTTTCCACGAGTTCCACTATGAAAGTTACCCATATATCGTGTGGCTTCACCTGTGGCGGATTGGGCCCGAGCTTGCAGCCTTCATAAACTGCGAGCGGACTGACCTCCTTCTCATTCGGTGCGAACAGGCCCATTCTCTTATCAACGGTATATTGCCACGCGAGTAACATCTCTTGCAAGAATCGCAACTTCAAATCTGGTCGTACAGTTAATATCCATTGCCAGCATTCGACCGCTGTGGTCATTGCTGTAGTTGTGAACAATTCTATCTGCGAGCACGCGACTATATGTAATAGGCGTCTATGTATTCCTGTAAATGCAAGCCTTGATTAGTATGAAATTGAAAAGAAGTTTGCTTATATATAATAAATAATCCAAAATTGATTATCATTAATTCTATAAGATTTAAAATTACAAAATTACAATTTAGTTTAAGTTTACCAGGCATGGATATTAAAAGAGCGGTAGCACGCCAAAGAGCTCCGCGATGGGCGGTATCATCGTGCTCCTGACAAGCACGACGGACAGCTTCGATCAATCTCTCGACGACTTTATCCCTACACTCTTCCAGAGTCATTTCCGCGGTTGGCGATTCGGTGCGTGCGAGAGCGAGCATACCAGCTACTTCGCCGGCATGCCACGATCTTGTAGACATCATCGATAGCAGCCACGAACTCGTACCTTTTGGACCGCGTGGTCTTTTATCCAACGAATTTGTCTGTAAAGTAAATACATTGCCTCAATATAATTAATTTATTATTTATAACACTTTAAATAAAAAAATGGCTAAAATAAACAAAAGTTGATTGATTAAAATAAAAATAAAAATTTATTTAAAATCAAAATTTATGATAAAACAACGCAGATATGATCTTAAACGTCGCTACATACGTTTGCTGGAACTACTGTGGGGATCGTGGTGTCCACAAATTCGAGAACAGAGTCAATGGCCAGCGACAGACCAGAATGGTGTCGCATGCCAGAAGATGGTATTTGATTAATATATTCTTGTAAATGTGATCTAGTAGCCTGCGGCGCCCACTTCATGGCTTCCTGTACTATACCCTTGCATCTCGCGGTAAAATCCTTCACGATAATCTGCAATTCGCACATTATCGTGAAATTCGTTTTATTTTAACAAGTAAAACATAACATCATACTTCTCTTGCTTCAAGATTATTCATCAACTCGATGCTATATGGCGTGCCAGGTATTCTTAAACTAGGAGTCTCTTCATTCGGATCAAGTTGTAATGAGTACGATAAAATCTGCAATGGCATATGAAGAATATTATGTATGAAGAAAACTGACAAAATATAAATTATAATAAAATAATAATATTATACCTGTAATATATCCAACATACTCCAAAGAACTTTGCAATTCCATAGCAGATGCGGGAAAGCATCCACTAGAGCACTGAGGTATTTGTCTGCTACTCGCCTAATCTGCTTATGCACGTGATTGAAATGCACCAATAGAAACTGCGCGTGATTCTCGAGTTCTCTTTCACGTTGCTCATCCTTCGGTTTGCGCTGCATTACGTCCTTGAATTTCGCAAATACCGAGTCAGCTACGCAGCATATGCACTGCCACATACCGCTTTTGTCCTTTTGCAAATCGGTATCGCACAGGTATTCCATTATTGGTTGCAAACTAGGCTCAGGACTGTTAGCCACTCGTAAGGTCTCTGACCAATAAACGGACAATAAGTACGTGCACTGTGCAAATTGTAGTTTAGTGACGTACGCGGATATGTCGTTTGTACTAAAAAAATTACATAAATTTTACAGCTTGTTCAAGAAATTCAAAAATTATATATAATTAACAATAATAAAGTATATAATTTTCTTATAATTAAAACTAAAGGCATGGCAGGTGTTGAAACGTAAAGCATTATATATATAATAAATATTAATTAGATAATTAAAAATAGACGGATATGAAATAAATCATACCGAGTGCTTATTTTCAGCACTTGACTCCGCAGTTCCTGTAACTCATTCAACGAGACACTGTCGTTGCGGACCGCCGACGTATATTGCAATTCTCGCATTTCAAGACGGGCGCTGGTCTGAGAAATAAGATAGGGCGACTTGACGGCAATTTCCTTGACACCTTCATACCATTCGAGTGGCCATAATCTTGGTGGGTGGTCCGCGGCGAAGCCCATTATAACGCAGTACAACCAAAAATCCTTGAATAATTTCAGAAGTCGCTTCTGCGGATGTCTAATTGGAGGTAGACGTCGTACCAATATCGCAATCACGGGAATGAGCACACCTAGATTTCCGGCACTACTAACTGCTTTCTGCATAATGTATATCATAATCAAATAATGTTTTTCATTCAATCATCTCTAGCATTTTGAAGAATGTAAAAATTCAAACACACTTACCGATGCAGCGATACTATTTGGCATCTTGTCACTGGCGCGTTTACCTTCGAGTCCTAATTGCACAAAAAGTTCGAGAAGATGCAGCAACAAATCATCCAATTCCGTCTCGCCCTGCAAATTCGCCGCTATATTCGCCAGGGCGTTTGTAACTGCCTTGGAAACATGGCAATATTGTTTACGATCGTCATTCGCGGCGTATGTTGCTGTGCTCGATCCCAACGACATGGAGAACATCTGCATTATCCCTTCATAAATCTATGCAAGGAAAATCGACGATATATAATAATCATCCAAAGAATTACAAAAGATTCTAAATGTTCCAAGCGTTGCGCCGACCTTTGGTTCGCATTTGGCAATGATCATGCAACCCAATTGATCTACTATGAGGAAATCAAGGTCGCTAGGAGTGCGACAAAAGAGCTGCTGGAAGAACGGAAAGATCGTGCGCATCGTCTTCGGAGTGTCCTTCAACGCCACGGCGACGTGGCCCAACATGATCACAATATTTTTCGATACTACTTCGTTTTTCAACTTCTCGTCGCTCTCGCTGAAACAAAACAAATATTATAATTTCACCCCTGCATTGATTAGAAAGATTATGAACACTGATAAACTTCTGCGATAAAAAATACCCGTCGGATATATCCGCGGTATATAATCTGTTCGAGACGCTGGCCACGAGCGCTGGTACGCAGTCCGGATTTACAGAATGCGCTGCTTCTAGGGCAATACAGAGATTGCCGATGGCCGCATCGCGAAGTTTCTCAAATGCTGTGTGCACCGATGACGTTGTCTGCTTCGTGTCGCTTATTTCCTTCCCTTGGACTATTCGAACATAGATACATGGTACATATTTATTTTATATATATGTATATATGACAAATAATAATTTTATGATTAAATTAATGGTAAATATATGAAAAAATGAACATACCTAATACTTTAAACTGATGTTCCTTCATGGTGTACTCGCTATGTTGTCGATATAACTTTAAAAGAATTGGTGATGGTGCAATGAGAAAGTCACGTAAATAGTATATGGATGTACTGGCTATGTTGGGAAACTTCTGCGCCAATTTTCCCAAACCTTCAAGACAAACCATCAATAATGGCATGTGCGCTAAGACGAGTTTCGGCCCGTGATTGGAATTAATCTTCTCTACAAGTCGTCCGCACAAGCTATCCGCACCTGAGAATTAACGTACCCCAAATCTCACTATATATAAATACAAATATATAAAAATATATATAAATAGCAATAGCTATATGGCTACTGTAAAGTTATCAATTGGTTATTTAAATACGGCAGATATAAAGATATTTTGTAAGTGTTTCTTCGTGCGTAAAAGTGTGTATAAGAAGCTCTGAAAATAAGAAAATTCACAAAATTTCTTAATAAAAAAGATCACAAATTTCGAATCAATAGAATCGATAGTTTATTACATCAGTTTAAGGACAATTAAACATTACAAGAGGGCACAATCAGCGAATCGTTATAGCTACTATTGAGACATTTGTTAGTAATTATTAATAGGGGACATGTTAACGAGGACATAACACACACGGGTGAATCAATATACCCTTGCCGATCAGCATTGAACTGATATCTGCAAACAGCGCAGACAAATCATATTCGCCGGGTACTGGAAAAATAATGTGAGAGTTTTAAGAGAAATCTATTCTTGGACGGGTGTCGCGATCGAAACAGACATTGATATCTCGCGGTCACGTTATCCATGCACTTGGAGTTACGAGCACAGTCACGAAACTCTTCCTCACAGTGTACAGATTATTATCATTTACTCTCGTTGAGTGCGGTGCTCCTAATTTTAGTAGAAGAGGTGCTCCCGCGGCTCGCGATCTCTGTTTCGTCGTCGACAGATAAGACGTGCTCACCTGTCTCGTCACCGATTGCCCAGACCAGTAGATCGACGCATGCAGAATTAGCCATCACGTTCACCTTGAAGCGATTCACTGTTCGGAAATTCGTATCAATGTCTTCACGCTCGCTCGCGTCGTGCTGCCGCGACTGCAGTTCCGTTTGGCCCGAAAGAAACAGGCCCTTTACGAATTCCTGCACATCCCTCGTGAACGGTGCTGGCAAGTCACGCTGATTCTGCAGTAGTTCCCGCAATAGAGCCACCATCACTAGATTCATTGTCTCGCTAAACGTGCGGTACGGAAAATATGTACTTGGCCGGAATTATACACCTGAAATATGATTGCAAGATCAATTACAGAGTGTTTTCAAATGTTTGTAAAAAATTTTCCTGAGAATTTCTGAATTTTCCAGATACTTTGGGCCAAAATTTTAGATAAGATTAAATATAATGAAAAATGATAAAATATAATGAAAATATAATAAATCATATAATAATAATGAATAATATTCTCACCTGTGTGAAGATAGCCGGCAGATGAAATAGAAACAAGAATGTTGTGCTTAAAATGGTATTATTCGATAGATTTTTGTTTGCACTTTTCCGAACAGGTCGAATTTTCGTTTGCACACCTCTAGTTAAAAAGTTATTAACAATTAAAGTTTCAGAAACGAGCGAGTTCGATATATGAGGTGAAAACAAAATATTGTGCTTAAAATGATATCAATCGAAAAGTTGTGGACGTTTCAAGTTATTTAGAAGATATAACGTTTAAGTACAGATATTAAAGATGAGCGAGAACATGCAATAGATTTGTGAGAAATAAACAAGAACCGAATATGAATGAAAAGCGACTTGTTCGGAAAAATGCAAACAAAAATCGAATAATACCATTTTAAGCACAACATTTTTGTTTCTATTTCATCTACCGAAGTCGCTCGCTTCTGAAACTTTAATTGTTTTCAACTCATCTATCGAACTCGCTCATTTCTGAAACTTTAATTGTTAATAACTTTTTAACTAGAGGTGTGCAAACGAAAAATCGACCTGTTTGGCAATGTGCAAACGAATATCTATCAATTGAGCTATTTTTTATTTAATTTACTCATAGTTGGGGGGCTAGTGTGAAGATGGCCCGCCGAAATTTGTTTTGTTAATAACTTTTTTACTAGAAGTGTGCAAACGAAAATTCGAAATGTGCATACATGTGCAAACGATGAGCAATCGAATGAGCTATAGAAACTTTATGTTTTTCAATGTTGGGGGACTATCTTCACACAGGTAATATTCTCATGTAAAAAATTTACCTGTTGTGCCTCCTCGTCTAGGAACGTCAGGATCTCCTTGGTAAGCAGCTTTTTGGCCAAAGCCAACACACTCTGTAAATGCACAACGGTAAATTGCATTCCGGCTCTTCTTTCGGGGCTCTCGTTACAGCGCATCTGCGGGAACTGATTGAAACTCGATCCATAACGACTGAAGTAATACGTCGTCGGATCGTACGGCACCGACAAAAAGGACTGTAATGATGGTCGCTTGCCGCAGTGATAATCGTGATTGTCATAGCCTGGCAACGCGTTATCGATACAAGAATTAAAATTGCCGCTCAGAGACCGCGGTATAATTGGCCTGAAATTCGAGAAACTGTGTTGCTTCTTGTCGGATATTAAGCGATTTTCCGTGTTGCTTGCTGGAGAGGGTGTCTCTCGTCGTGGAAAGATACGGCAAAGTAACGGTGGATCTGTACATGCAAAACGACCCATTGATCTTGCCAGACCAATCAGCACCGGAACCAGACATTTGCATAGTGATACTGAAACAACGTCCGAATTACAATTTCTTATTTTTTTTTATAAATAATATGAAATACATTTAAAAATGAGAATTTGAAATTGCATCGTGCTGAAATAAAAAATTTAATAAAAAAATTTCTTATAATTTAAATTTTTTTGCTAATATAATTTAAAATTATATTTTTTTTAAATTATCATTAAATTAT